GGGGCCGCCCGCCGCGCGTGCCCGCGTCGCGTGGCGGGAGCAGAGCCAGCTGAGCCCCGCACGCCTGTCCCTGTGCTTCGGTTAAAGGCCCCTTCCCGGTTCCTCCTGCCGTGGGGGGATTTCTAGGAGCCCTGTCCCGCGTGGAGGCTCGGGTGTTGGTGAAGTACGAGCTCACCGCGCGAACTTCCCGTCAAACCGGGCTCGCTAGGGGCCCCGCCGCCGCCCTTCTTCTCCACGGGACCCCGGCTGCGTTGTTTACTCTGCTGTCAGATTTGCCTCGCCATCAGCCAGCCCGTTCAGAAGACCTGGGAAGGAGACCGGTGTCACCCCAGGGAGCATGGCAATCCTGATCTTGTTTCCGCAGGAATCCAGGTTTCAGAAGCAATGGTGCTCCCATGTAGAAGTCCAGCGTTGTAAATCCCGATTGTTCGCATCCTATGGTCATTGTTTTTCCAAATTGCTCTGAAATTTGCCTAGAGAAGCAGCATCCTCAGCAAATATTTTCCTTTGCACTGTGAAAGGATTGTACAGCTGTTGCTGTTTTCTGTTAAAATTGTGTATTTTTGTCTGTACGTTTGCATGAGGCATCCGGTGCAAGGGAATGCTCACTTGCAATTTCAGTGCTTTTTTTTTTTTTTTTCCAGTTTGTCCAAAGCATTACAACTAAAAGTGATAAAAGCAACTGTAAGTGCAGTATCTTACCTGAATATGAAAGTGGGGCAGTCGCAGATTGTTCACGGCCCTTTTCACAATGCCTCTTAGATTTTCCTGAGCGAGAGATGCTTTTATTTTTCATACCTGAATTATTTCCCATCTTTTTTTCCAATGTTTGTTTCGTTATTTGTTTTTTGAACTTGCGTAAATGTTTGGAACGGTTGGAACAAAACATTTTGCTGTGCCTTGAGTGAGAAGGTGTTGCCTTGTGCTTGGACAGGTTGGTTGGTCTCTCCCACTCCCTGCCCTGGCACAGCAGGAAGCAGTGTGTAATCATTCCCTGTTCACTCACGAACATGTGAAGTGAACAAGTCTTAGGAAAGGTCTTCTGACAGTTTGTAGTGTGGATGTGCTTTCATTGAGCGGTTTCCATTTTCTTCTACTTTTTAATTGTTTGTTAACTTCTGAGGTTTCCTTTCATTCCCTGCAGCTTTCTTTTTTATTTAGGCTGCTCTATTGAAGGGTCTGAAAAGCAAAGTAGTCTCTATCAATTTTGTTTACTAGCAGCTTCTTTACCTAGTTCTACACTTACACAATTTTCTTCTGTAAACCCATGTTGACTCTTTTCCATGGAGTAATCTTTATGCATCTATCTACTAGTTCTGCTTTTTATTGTCATTATTACCATTTTACAGTGATAGAATTTTGTTAAACAGATTGTGGTTATATTAAATGTACGGTTAATTTGCTCACTGTTTGCATTGTGTTTTAGGCTGACATCAGCTGGTCAGTGAATGGCATGCCCCAAGGGACTATTAAACAGCCCCTGGGGTATATTCCAATCATGGTGAAGTCCAAGTTGTGCAACCTCTATAATCTTTCTGCACAAGAGCTCATACAGCACCATGAGGAGGAAGAGGTAATGGGAATGTTGTGGGTCAGAAAAATCTGCATTTTACATGAACAGTATCTTAGGCCAGCTTCTCTTTACAGAACTGGAGCATTTATATTTTATTTCAAGTTTGACTTGTTATTTTTTCTGAATGTACCCCATTTATGGTGGTTCCATACAGCATCTTGAAAAATTTGCAGTCACGACTGTCTTTGAATACAGGTATCTGTTTGGTGCTGATACCTGCCATTCCAGTATAGAATCACAGAATGCTTTGGGTTGGAAGGGACCTTTAGATATCATCTAGCCGAACCCCTCTGCAGTGAGCAGGGACATCTTCAACTCGATCAGGTTGCTCAGAGCCCCGTCCAACCTGGCCTTGAATGTTTCCAGGGATGGGGGCTCCACCGCCTCTCTGGGCAACCTGTTCCCGTGTTTAACCACCCTCATTGTAAAGAATTTCTACCCTGTTTTAGTTTAAAGCCATTACCCCTTGTCCTGTCACAGCTGGCCCTGCTAAAAAGATTGTCCCCATCTTTCCCTTTCTCCCTTTAAGTACTGAAAGGCCGCAGTCGGGTCTCCCTGCAGCCTCCTCTTCTCCAGGCTGAACAACCCCAACTCTCTCAGCCTGTCCACATAAGGAGAGGTGCTGCAGCCCTTGGATCATTTTTGTGGCCCTCCTCTGGACTCGCTCCAACAGGTCCCTGTCATTCTTCTCAACTATTAACCCACAACTGAGGCTATGTAGCTGTGAGTGGGCCTCTGTGGAGACAAAAATTTGGAGAACAGGCCTTGAAAGAGACATTTTCATTTTCAGTTGTCTTCTGCAGCTTTTTCCTCATCTCCCCAGTAGCATGTCAGCTGTGGGAATTGAATATGGAATTATTTAGTGCCTTATGTTGCACTCAGAAAAAGAGCGAGCAAACTATAAAAGAAAATCTACAATGGCATACTGTTGCTGCTCCCCTAGTATGCTGCTTGGACCTTTGTTCATAGTATTACTCGCCTCTGCAGCACTTTTTGTCTAATGGCATACCATTTGGAGAGCTGTAAATTTATCAGTGTTAAGCTTGTGTGTGACCAGAAAGAGGTTTTCTGCACTGAAGATCCCTCTGGTTTATAAACTCAAAATGAGAACATCAGAGTATTAAAAACATAGTTAATGTCAGCTCTTCAAAGCTGTTCAGTTGACCCACACGGGTTCTGGGGGTTTCTTTCTTTCTTCCTTTAAATTGTGGAATGTGCATCCCTTTCCTTACACTGTGCTGTATTTAGACTTAATAGTTGCTGGCCAGGAGTGCAGCCTTTCCAAATGCAGTGCTGAAACATATGTCTTGCTATATGTTTCACAGTTAAAACATTAAATGTTTGTTAACATACAATACAGGCATTTTTGTCTTATACTTAAAATGCTTGAAATTAATTTCTAAGCACATTAAAATTATTTTTCTTCTTCTGCCAGGAAATGGGAGGCTACTTTATAATTAATGGCTTAGAAAAAGTTATTAGGATGCTGATTATGCCCAGGCGAAATTTCCCTCTTGCAATGACAAGACATAAATGGAAAAACAGAGGCCCTGGTTTCACAGAATACGGTAAGCTGAACAGTTTCCTGCGGCATCCTGCTAGTAACTACTTCGGGACAAACAGGAGTGACCATCTATAGCTGACTTTTGGTAGTTGTTTTGATGTAGGTCTTGTATGTTGTTTATATTTTTTTGCTACATATAAAAATAAAAGGGTCAACACCACTGTAATGGTACAAGCATGAGGGAGGTGCTGACCTTGTGGGAGTTATCTGAGGCACCCATGCTGAGCAAGGAGATTGTATTCTAGGCCTTGTAATACGTGTAACCTTTTGTTACGTGGAAGGTGTAACTAAAACCCTACTTTCAGTAGAAGTCAGTGTAAACTGCTGAACTTGTTTCATTGAATTTGTTTATATCCGTACTTCGCGATGGCAGATTTAATTTACATGAAGCAGATTAACTGGATTCTTGGCTATCCCATACCTTTGTCATGTACACTCAGTAAAACAAGTTTAAAATTTAATTAAACCAGAAAAGTTACAGTTTTAAACTCAGGTGTTACCAGCTGCTGATTTGTCTGGACTGCCGTGCTTGAGCACACACTGTAATTCCACATTAATTAATTTTGAGGCAGTGCCAGTTTAAATGGTCCCATTTGTTTTATTTTATTTTGTCCTGCAGTGGATAGCATGGGACAGAACCAGGAAACACTGCTTCAGTGGTACCACCTGAATGCAGAGATGTGAAAACTTGACCCAGCATGCCATTAGGAAGAGCACTTGTGTGTTGCTGTGTCTTACAACCTGAGGTTACAGACAGAATAGTTGAGGCTTGGGGCTTTCCTTTTTTAAAAACTGCATCTTCCAAGCCTCTCCACAAGCGTGCTGGCTTTCTTGAGACATTTGTCCACTAAGAACTGAATTGGGCTGGTGTATTTATTTGAAATGGGAGTCTTATGCTGAAACTAGTGATCGGCCTCCTGTACTCAGCCACGAAGTACTGAAGTTTCTCTCATTAATTGTCTCACACTTGCTCAGATAGGTCACAGTAATGCAGGCAGTTGGTTTTGTACAGCTCATGTTGGTCTTTGCTTGTGTTAATTTTTGCAGGAGTAGTGATGCACTGTGTTAAGGATGAGCACACTGCAATAAATATGAACCTTCACTACTTGGAAAATGGTTGTGTCATGGTGAATTTCATTTTTCAGAAAGAGTTGTTCTTCCTTCCCTTGGGATTTGCTCTGAAGGTAAACAACTAATGCTTGTGCTTTCTGTGTTAAATAAATACAGAAGTTTTGCTAAGCATTTTTATTTAAGTAATGAGAAGCTAATTCCATATAAGTATTTTCAGCCATCCTTCCTATACTGGCTGAAGTAGTAGCAGCTTGAGGCAATGGTGAATTAAATTCATGGTTTTTAAGTGAGCTCATTCTGTGAAGATATTAGTAAATCTTACCTAAACAGGAGAAGCCTGTTAATTTAGAGGATGCAGGTTTGTTTTTTTCCAAGGCAGTACTTGTGATCATCATTAGGGTATGAATATCCCCCGTATTACTCTCTAAGCACCTCAGCCCCACAGTATTTTTCAGCTTGCGTAGCGGAAGGGTATTTCCAGAGGACTGAAAACCTCAATCAGTGGGGTGACCTACTTCTTTTGCTGTATTTTACAGACAGACGTTGCTATGACTTTATTTTTCTACTATGACTTTGTTTTTCTGATCTGATACACTTCTGTCTTTCAGGCATTAGTTAATTTCCCAGACTACCAAATTTTTGAAGAGTTGGTCAAAGAAAAGGAAGGTGACAGCTTTTATGTGAACTGTGTTACTGAGATGATGAGAGCGGTAGTGGATGCAGGCTGTTTCACACAGCAAAACGTCCTCGAATACCTGGGAAAGAGCTTCAGAATAAAACTTAACCTTCCTGAGTGGTATAGCAATGAGCAGGCTGCAGATTTCATTTTGAAGTATGTATGTATGCGTGTTGGAGTGTGTGATTCAGTTTAATTGTATTGAAATTGTAGGTAGATTTAAGAGTACTTAAGAGCCATGTTACGTCACACTTTGTTATGATTTTCATATGCATTTATTAAATGATAGCCAGTGGCCACTTTTTGATAGGACTCCAGGATAGTATGATAATCTGTATTTGTGGTGTTCCGAAATATATATTTTAATGGATTGACACAAGTATCCCTAAAAGGGTTTCAGGCGAGGGTATCAGTTGTTATTTAGATGTGATTTTCTGATGTATTTGATGAAAAACATAAAGATCAAGGAAGAGAAGGTTGAAGCTAGGTCTGTGACTGCTCAAGGCTCTATTTGTTGAACAGAAATACTGCAATTTGTGGCACTTTAACAGTTTCACGCAGTTGTTGGCAACATTTATCTTTTCAAATGGTAGAAGTTGGATGCTTTAAAGTCTTGTTTCTTCCATGGAGTAAGTTAGAAAGGAATGGAAGAACTGGCTTTGAGATTGTCAGTGTTGATAGGCTTTCAACTAAATGATAATTTTTTTCTTGTAAAGTAGGTGTTTGCTCTTTGAGGGGTCTTTTACCACATGGAAATGATCATTTGGGATGCCCAAGTCCTTGAGGACTTGTAAATAGGGGTTGGTCAGGTGGCTGGGAACACAAAGGCAGCCTGCAGGTGCCTCAGAGGGGCACTTAAAAGTCCATAGACCGGCTGGAAGCACGGAACTTTGTACTGAGAAATGTGAGTGGCTTTCAAGAAAGTCAGAATTACTCTGTTTTTCTTATTTCTAAATATTCTGGTGGATAGTTTGTTTTGGTTTGGGTTTTTTTCCTCTCTGATATGTTCTGTACACCTTATTTGCCTCAGCTGAGGAGATAGAAGGGGAGGAATAGTGAAAACATTAATTGGGATGCACCCTGTATGTAAGAATGCTGGAACTGTAACTTATCTGGACAGAACCTGCCTTTGGAGTTTTGTCTTGCTTTGCAGTGAAGTTGTGAAGGCTTCAGTAGAGGGCAATGTAGAGAAGTGAAAAGCTCAAAAAAATCCTCGAGTGCTGATGGAAGACTGTTGCACTTGTGTCTTGGAGAGCAGGCGATCTCAGGTGTCTTGGAAAGCAGCCCATCAGCTTTAGTGGGAATTAGGTGTGGCTTTCCTTTTTGCTTGGGGTAGAGTCTTGTTCAGCCCACAGTTTTCTGCATGTGAGTTGATAGCAGTGGATATTTGGACTTTCTGTGGCAAGACACTGATAGAATTACCAGAAACATTTCGTGGTTTGCTATTAGTTTCCAGCTCAGATTTGGGGTGGGGCGCGCGTATGTGGATGCGATTGGTGTCATAGCTACTGTAACATAACATGCAAACCTTATCTGATGACTGGTCCTGACTCCAATACCTGTTTACATAAATTGTATACTTACAAGGACATCTAACATGGGAGTGTGTAAAATCAGTCTTTCACAAGGTTTACCTTCATCTAATTAGCCAGGTATATCCTTAACAAAACTAGCCCCTTAAAAAGACAAGTTGGTAATTTTTCAGCTGGGTTTTTTTAATTATTATTTCTTGGAATTTTCATATAACAGTAAGGGCAACTGGAGAAGCTTGTGCCTTGTTACGCTTTTTAGCCAAAAAGTTTGGTTTGCAGTTATTTAGGAGAAACTTGAAGAACAGCTAGCATGAAGAGATGGTGTTAGTTGTCCTCCTTTTTACTCTTCCTCCAGCAAGTGTATCTGCATACACCTGACAAACAGAACTGAAAAGTTCTACCTGCTCTGTATGATGACCCGGAAGCTGTATGCTTTTGCCAAAGGGGAGTGCATGGAGGATAATCCAGACAGTCTGATGAATCAAGAAGTGCTTACCCCAGGCCAGCTTTTCCTTATGTTTTTAAAGGTAAGGTCTTAAGGGGTGTAAGCCTGTGAATGTAATGGTTATCCAGTCCAGACCCCACAGTGACCATGGGGACAGGAGAAGTGCAGGAGCCAGACTGAAGAGCAGGGAGCCTGGGTGTGAAGGCTGAGAGAGTGCTGGGTGTAGCGTAACCAAGCAGTGTAGTTGAGGAAGGCTTAGCTGTCTCCATATAGGGTACTAAATATGCTGAAGAAAAGCCTGTACAAAACCTGGAATAAAGAGCTTCGTAGCCTTCCAGAACAAATTAAAGCACCCCATTCAGGGTGGGAATCTGAGAAAGGAGGAATACCGACCCTCCTGGTGTTTGAAAAGGGTTTTGAAACAGCATACTTCTGTTGTATCAATTGACAAGGGAGTAGTAAAGATCTGTTTTGTGGCGTTGCTGCTGTTTCATATGGCAAATGTGCAAGAAAATAACCCCCTCCCCCCACCATCTTCCAAAAGTGATGATTCATGATGCTGTCATCATTTTCCCATCTTTAAATTCCTTTACGGATCAGGAGGTTGATAGCATTTTTCTGACTTACGCAGTTAATTTATTACTGGTGATGTAAAAATTTGGCTTCCTAATCTATTCCAATTCAATATGAATTCAGTTTATATCTAGGGTTTCCTCATTTTAGGATGCCGGGAGGAAAGTCTTCCTGTTCAGAAGCTTGGCTGTCCCATCAAAATCATTGTGGAATAGTAGTTCCCATTCCCAAGTAAAGATACTTCCCTGAGTTATTAGATAACTTTTTTGGTTTTAACCCTTCTTTTCCATTTTAGCCAAAATTGTCTTTAGTGTTGTTTGTTGAAAGACTAACAAAACCTCTCTACTACTTGAGTGCCTTCAGTGGGTTTAGAAATAAAATAAAAAGTGAGCTCTGTGAAGCATTTTAGTGCTATATAGAACTACCACCAGGAACCAGAAAAGGTTGCTTTCCTGCATGGCCCTGTCAGATCTGCAGGGAGTGAGTTAACAGCCCCTTTTTTGAATGCAAAGATCCTAAATAGACTAGAGCATACAGTAGACACAGTGTGGCTGTATATAGTGGATTTTTACTAAGACCTCAAAGCATTGTTGCGTACCTTACATCCTTTTCCCTTTTTTATATAGTATCTAAGATCACAGCAGTGATAAAATTACAGCTAAAATGAAAATCCAGTCCACTAACTCAAGATTGCCTCAGCAACATTTAAATATTCTGTGTCCGTGGCCTTCAAGTTTTGGTATCTAAACTTACTTCATAATGTGGTTTTACTTCATCAATGTATTTAGCAGGCTAATCAGTGGAGTTATTCTTGTGGTCAGATTATAGGTACAATTTCTGCTTTGGGTTTTGTTTGTTCTTTCTGAAATTGTGTTATTGTTCTTTGTTTGCCAGACTCATCACAGTCTGGGTGGAAGTGATTGCGAAGTTGTTGGATGGGTATTTCCCTTGCAGGTTTGTGTTGGCGTGATCCCGTCAGCTTTTTGATCAAATGAATTCAGTGTGGGAAACACAGGTGGAAAACTGTCAGTTCAGTAAAAGGTGTCCATCCTGCTGATTTCAGAGGATTTCTGTAGCACATGCAACTGATGTGAAGTTCTAATTTGAGCTTTTTTTTTTCCTGTTTTAAATGTAAATCTCTCACTTTCAAACTGTAGGAGAGGCTTGAAAGCTGGTTGCAATCTGTTAAGTTCGTATTGGAGAAAAGAACAGAAAAGGCAGATATCAGCATAAATGCAGACAGTTTGGTGAAGGCGTTCAGCCTGGCAACAGACTTTACCAAGCCATTTGAATATCTTCTTGCAACTGGTAACCTGCGATCTAAAACCGGTAAATCTTCAGGCTTAAGAAGCCTTTTTTTTTTTTTTTTCCTGCTAAACAGAATGAGAAACAGCATAAAACTGAGGTCTTAACTGCTTAACAACTGCTTATATGCAGACATTGTATGCTGTAACTGAATTAATGAAAGTGGTGTGAGGAAAGGGATACTTGAGGAAAAAGGCAAGATTTCTCCTCAAGCAGAGACTTTATGCATGATATAAACCGGGTTAGTTATTAAAGCAAAGCCTTTACCCAAATAGAGAGTTGAAATTAAATTTAGCATCGTCCAAAACAGCAACCACATTTCGATTTGTTTTCCCAAAGATTATTTCTTCTTAGAAGATGCAATGTAAGACAGAGAAGGGGCATTTGTTTATCAGGACCGCCTCACTGGTCACGTGAGCTTAAATGGAGAGAAACTGCTTCACTAATGTGTATTTCAAATTGACCTGGTTCTTCCCTGAGGTTTCTAGTGTGATGATGCTGTAATGGAATGCCCACTAGAAAGTGAAATGAGGTTAGAATGCTGCAGAATTTCAGTAAAAAGTACCAGCTGCAAATCCCTGAGTCACTTCACTGGGATGACTTTCATATGTTTCTAAAAGGAGTTGGATTTTAAGCAGTAGCTTGGAATTTAAAGTCTCTGGGCCTCTTACAGGTCACCGAGTTGCCCATGCACAGGCAACAGCACACGTGTCTTCTGTTGTTGGAGTTCTGTGTGAGCATCTTTAGGGCTTGTCAGTGAAAAAGCAGAAACTGACGTGTAACAACATACTTCAGTTGTTAAAGCTGGATGACATCCTGACATAAATCTCAATTTTATTCCCAAGGCCTGGGCATGTTACAGGACAGCGGTCTCTGTGTGGTGGGAGACAAGCTGAATTTCATTCGCTACCTTTCCCACTTCCGCTGCATACACAGAGGGGCAGCGTTTTCCCAGATGAGAACTACAACTGTCCGCAAGCTGCTGCCCGAATCCTGGGGGTTCCTGTGCCCTGTGGACACCCCAGATGGAGAACCCTGCGGTCTGATGAACCACATGACAGCTGTGTGTGAAATAGTGACGGAGATGGTGCCTGTGACAGACATTCCACCTTTGTTATGTTCCCTAGGTATGTTTCACTGGTTTGATCCTTTAATGAAGCGGTCTTCCTTTTTAACCTTTCTGCCCTGCAGACCCGTATCTGGGAAAGGTTCTCCAGATATCATCACTGTACACTGTTAACTTGAGAAGGTGAAATCAAGTTGAACTGGTACTTACTGACTTACTGTGCTTCTGCTTAGTGGTAAGTAGCACGTTGCTTATACAGGCGTGTCAAACTTTTGGAGAGTGTAAAGCTCAATGCAGATGACTCTTAGCTGTGTGCTGTAGAGTGAAGAAGTTCACTTAAGCACAGGGAATTGCACGGTACCAGCTCTAAGAAGTTGGACCAAGCAGTGACGTTCCAGTGCTGCTGGTTACTTGAATTAAACTGCAGCTCACTTATGATTACCACAATAATGGGAATCCTTATTTCAATCAGAAAAATGGGGAATGTAATGGCATTCTTAGTTGTGCGTGGTTTGTATTTTCCATTAAGTAATCTACAGCTTTGCCCTGTGGGTCTGAATTTTTTGCTGTCTCAGAAAGCTCTTTGGTGTGGATTGAGGCTTCCTGCAGAAATAAACTCTGTGTTTTGTTTGCTTTTTTGGCTGTTCCTTCTACCAACCCCCTCTTCTCACAGGTGTCACCCCCATTGATGCGACTCCAAGCAAGCCTTATGCGGAGTGTTACAGAGTTGTGTTGGATGGTGCTGTGGTGGGCTGGGTAGAGTGGGAGCTGGCTCCTGAGATTGCAGAAACCCTCCGCCGTTTCAAGGTTGTCTTGTTTAAAGTGTTTCTTAGCTAAACATCCTCAGTATGCAGTGGTCAAAAATAGGTGCATTTATTAGTATTGGAGTGGGCTTTTCTGTTTTTCTTGTTTATATCCATGTTTGGTCTGTTGGTTTGTGAAATAATTTTTAGAAGAAATTTTTGTTGAAAAAGGTAAGATAGACATATTCTGTCCTTTTCTTGCTGGAGCTTTTTCTAGAATTATTCTTAAAATCTTTTCTCCGCCATTTTATATTAATAGCTACTCCTGTGGTTAGCATTTTCCTTGTGTAGCCTGTTGGATGCAGCCTAACTAAACCAGTATTGGTTTGTGTTTCTAAATGGGTATTTCTTTGCACAAACAGATAACACAAGAAAAGAGGTTTCCTGCACGGGCAGAAGTTGTCCTTATCCCAATGACAGGAAAACCCAGTCTGTATCCTGGGTTGTTCATTTTTACTACCCCTTGCCGGATGGTGCGGCCTGTCAGAAACCTGTTCTTTGGAAGGAATGAATGGATTGGTACTCTGGAACAGGTGGGGCTTTCATATTCCTTTATAGAGCTCTGACTATTACAGAGGTACCCAGCATCAAAAAAAAATATTTTGGAAAATATTTGTGAAAGGAGCTGAAGATGGGACATTGGGAGCTTGTGTTGAAGAGCTAGAATAGGTGGCGGGAAAAGGGTTTTCTCACCTCCTGTTTATTGGTTTCCAGTAAATGTCTTAGATGGACTGTAGGGATCTTTCTGAGATATTGAAATCTGCTTTCAGTATTAACTTAGTGAAGCTTTTAAGGTGAAGGATTGCTCTCTTGTGTGTACTGTCTCATCATGTTCTTCAAATTGCCTGTGGCTGGCCAAGCAGTGGATTGCCGGGGAACTCGCCCATTTGGAACAACTAAAATGGGAGATGAGAAGAAGGACATGTTACTGCAGTTTTGTATTTCCAGACTTGCTTTCCTTGCAGTTGGTCTGTGATTTGTGATAGGTAGTTTAACAGCTGTCTGATATTTTTCTTGCCTGCTAATAGACTAAGGTGCAGACAATGACCACAGCTAAAAGTGAAATGAGTAAAAAGATATCGGGGGCAGCTTTGTTTTGCTTCCTTCCCTTTAAAAGAAGGAAGTGAATGAGCATTGTCCAATTTGATGCCTGCAGATCTTCATGAATGTGGCCTCACTGGAGTCGGAGGTGGTGCCTGGAATAACCACTCACCAGGAGCTCTTCCCTCACAGCATTCTGAGCGTGGTGGCCAACCTTATCCCCTTCTCCGACCACAACCAAAGTCCACGAAACATGTACCAGTGCCAGATGGGTAAGTGCTGTAGTATCTAATGCCGCAAGTCCCAGGGCAAGGGAGAGGGGAAAATGTGTCTGTTCTTGTGTGTATTCCTGCATTCCCAAATAATAGCTCTTCCCAGACATTGTTTCAACATTCAGGTGGATTAACAGCCATACTTTTCACAGCAAAGTAAACTAAGTCAAATTTATCATCCTGGCTGCCTTCCAGTGGGCAGTTCTAGGTTGTTGCACTCATGTTGCCTTCCTTAAGCCTTTAGTAAGTTTTGTTTGTTTTTTTTCTTAATTTGATGCTGTTGATCTTATAGACAAGTAAAGGGCACTGCAACGGCACCATCTGCTTGGTGGTGTTAGTGTCTGACAGCTGTGCTGCCAACAGTCCTCTCGTCCCCACAACTGACAGAGGTTAACCTACCTCTGACTGGTAGCTACGGTAGATGCTCTGCAGTAGTTAGCATGAGGTTTCCTTGCCACCTGCTTTCGGTGAGCAGCTGCTGTCTTGACACTGCAGCTGCTGAGAGGACACTTGCTAGGCATCTATTGCAAGAGAGCAATACAGCACTGTGGCAATAGGGTGGGGTTTTTTCTGACAACTATTTGACAAAGATTTAAATCGATTTATTCGGTTGTCTGAAAGAAGTTGGGATAGGGTATGTAGTGGGGTTTCAATCAGCTGAGGTGTAAGTGATGTGCAAGAAGCTTGTTTAAAAAAAAAAAAGGCAGGCTAAGAGAAAGTGTGTGGGTAGGGACTTAAAGAGAGCAGGTCTCACTACCTCAATAGCATCACTAGCATACTACATTTCTGGCAATATTATCAGAAAGATGTCCTTAAAACACTACCACTTTTTCATATTCTTCTGCAAGTACCAATGTAACTATGTTGAAAACTTGTTTTCCTTGCCAATGTATTTATACCGCAGAAGCAAATGCTTTCTGGCCTGGAAGTATGCAAGGTGTGCCTCACTATGGGAAACTCTGGGGAGAGGGGGAAA